AACCAACATATGCCATCCCATTTAGTCCTCAAAAAGCCAGGTGAGATATTGAACGTAGCAGGATGGGTCAGAGCACAGACTCCAAAGCCAGATGGCCTGGGTGTGATTTTTGGACAAGGTATTAACTTTTCTCTGAGCCTTAATTTCCTCATCTATAAAATGGGGATAAGGAGCCCTGATGGCCATGGTTGAGCGCTCTGCTATTAACCAAAAGGTTGATGGTTCCAACCTACTCAGTGGTTCCGTGGGAGAAATACCTGGTGATCTGCTTCTGTAAAGATTACAGCTAAGAAAACACTATGGGGCACTTCTATTCTGTCACATGGGGTCACTATGAGTCAGAATCGACTCTATGGCACCCAAAAACACTACCACCAACAAAAGGGGATAATGATAATAGTACCCACCTCATAGGGTTACCATGAGGATAAAAGGAGACAATAATGTAAAGTGCTTAGAATAGTGCCTAGCATTTAGTAAGTGCTATGTGAAAGTTTGTTATATAAATAAAATCATTGTTTCTATTTTGCAAATGAGGAGACACTAATGGGTTATATAACTTGACTATGGTTATACATCCAATTGGTGATGAAATTTAATGCCGGAGTATACACTCTTTGCTATATATATTTATGAAATAAATATATCAATATTTTAAGTGTGCGTGTGTGTGTGTGTAGGTATGTTTGCACGTGTCCATGTATGCTCCACAGGGTTAAAGTCTGGTTGAGTGGGAGTTACTGCTTCCTTAATGGAAAAAAATTAGTAAAATTATCAAATAAGTTTCCATCAAGGATGTTGGTTGAGGTCAGCGGTTACAATCTTAAATGCCTACAAGGGCCAAGTAAGTCACATAAGTGAGGGAAGCAGAATGGGTGTGACATGATGATAAATGGCAATGGATTGTCACCCTTCATGTCAGGCAAACCACAGGGAGTGGTGTGACTGTGGCAACCTAGAGAGTGCAGACCACTGCAGAGGTGGAACGTGGTGGGTAAAAAGGGGGGCACAGATGCCAGAGCTTCTGATTTTTTAAACAGAAAGCACAACAGAATTTTTTTTTTCTTAAAGACTATAGGTGCTATGACACATTTGTAGGTTTCGTATCACTAGCCAGTTTAGGGCCTTTGGTTTAGATAAGACTCTATCCTTGATAAAAATGCCAGAAATAAATAAAATAAATAAAAAATGCTAAAAAGTACAAAATCCAAAATAATCTCAATATGATCACAAAGAATAAAGTAAAAAGTGATCGATATCCAGAAATGACTGAGTGCTTTTGTTTTCATTCAACAAAATGATTAAAGTTTGCAACAAAAAAAAAACCATAACTCTCCTTTCCTGCTGCAGACACTAAACCTTGTTTTCTCCTTCTGAGATGTGTGTGCGTGCGTGTGCGTGCGCATGCACGTAAGGGTGTGTTTCTTTTTTCTCTTTCCAAATAAATACATTTAATGCTGACTGTAATGGAAGATAACTATTACCTAAATTTATTTTATATTACA